GGCGCCCTACGGCGCCCCCTGGCGGCCCGCGCTCGCCGCCCGGCGGCTGGAGGCGACCCCCGGGGAGGCGCGGAGCCGCCGTGAGGGCCCCGCCGGGGAGGCCTTCTCCGCGGGGAAGCCTTTCCTCTGCAAGGCGGCGTTGAGGCCGGGGGACGCCCACGCCACCAGGCATCCCTGGGTAGGGCGAGGCGCTGGGGCCGCTTCGCCCGCGCCTCCCTCGCTGAGAGAGAAGGGGTGGCTGTGTCTGGGCCGGGGTTCGGGCGATGCCTCCGGTGTTGTCTGGGAGAGAGGACGGTGCCCGCGGCTGTGGGGAGACCCCGGAGCACGGGGGAGGAATCCCTGCTCCCACCCGGCCTCCGCCACAGCCATTGTCCCCCAGCCCCAGCATCGACACTGGGGCCTGGGCGAGATTACCCCGTGCTGGTAAAAGAGGGTGCTGGGGGGTGGTTTTACTGCACTAACTAGGCCATACCAGGGGAAACTCATTTGTCTCACTAAGAAATTCCCCCGGTGAAGCTGGGAGAACTGCAGGCCAACGAGGAGAGGCCGTAGCTCTGCCCGGCAGAGTGTCCTGGCGGCTGCGTGTGGGCCGTGGGGGTCAGGAGGGAAAATGGCGGAGCTGGGGCTGGGCCTTTCTGCTTGAATTTCTCTCCCCGTCCAGCAGTTTCAAAAACTTGAACTGAAGAGCCTGATACTTGAAAATGCCTTTTAGGAGACTAAAGTCATGGAAAAAAAAAAAAAATCCAACCAAAAACCCTCAGATTGCTATGTGACTGCCAGCGTGGCTATTAAAAAAAAGGGGCCGCTTCGCCCGCGCCTCCCTCGCTGAGAGAGAAGGGGTGGCTGTGTCTGGGCCGGGGTTCGGGCGATGCCTCCGGTGTTGTCTGGGAGAGAGGACGGTGCCCGCGGCTGTGGGGAGACCCCGGAGCACGGGGGAGGAATCCCTGCTCCCACCCGGCCTCCGCCACAGCCATTGTCCCCCAGCCCCAGCATCGACACTGGGGCCTGGGCGAGATTACCCCGTGCTGGTAAAAGAGGGTGCTGGGGGGTGGTTTTACTGCACTAACTAGGCCATACCAGGGGAAACTCATTTGTCTCACTAAGAAATTCCCCCGGTGAAGCTGGGAGAACTGCAGGCCAACGAGGAGAGGCCGTAGCTCTGCCCGGCAGAGTGTCCTGGCGGCTGCGTGTGGGCCGTGGGGGTCAGGAGGGAAAATGGCGGAGCTGGGGCTGGGCCTTTCTGCTTGAATTTCTCTCCCCGTCCAGCAGTTTCAAAAACTTGAACTGAAGAGCCTGATACTTGAAAATGCCTTTTAGGAGACTAAAGTCATGGAAAAAAAAAAAAAAATCCAACCAAAAACCCTCAGATTGCTATGTGACTGCCAGCGTGGCTATTAAAAAAAACCGCCAGCAACCAAAATCCTCTTCTAACCACAAGAAAAATGTAAATCCAGCCACAGAGTTCCAAACACAGTAGGAAATGCGTTCCGCTGTACGTTTCTCTGTTAGTGCTTGCCTGGCTACATAGAGTTACAATATGCCGAAGGGTCCCCCCTGGGCGAAGGAGAGCACGGCCATGGGCCTGTGCCCCAGCCCTGGCAGGAGCAGGTGTTGGTGGACTGTGGGCTGAACATGAGCCAGCAGTGTGCCCAGGTGGCCAAGAAGGCCACCAGCATCCTGGCCTGTATCAGGAACAGGGTGGGGAGTAGGGCCCGAGAGGTGATTGTCCTCCTGTACTCGGCACTGGTGAGTCCTCACCTTGAGTACTGTGTCCAGTTTTGGGCCCCCTACCATAAAAAAGACATCGAGGTGCTGGAGCGGGTCCAGAGAAGGGCGACAAAGATGGTGAGGGGTCTGGAGAATAAGTCTTATGAGGAGAGGCTGAGGGAACTGGGGTTATTCAGCCTGGAGAAGAGGAGGCTGAGGGGAGACCTTATTGCTCTCTACAACTCCCTGAAAGGAGGGTGTAGAGAGGTGGGGGTCGGTCTCTTTTCTCAAGTCACAGGCGACAGGACAAGAGGAAATGGCCTCAAGTTGTGCCAGGGGAAGTTCAGGCTGGATATTAGGAAACATTTTTTCACCAAAAGGGTTCTCAGACATTGGAATGGGCTGCCCAGGGAGGTGGTTGAGGCCCCATCCCTGGAGGTGTTCAAAAGCCGGGTTGATGTAGTGCTGGGAGGTCTGGTTTAGTGATGATGCTCCTTGTTTGTTGTGCGGGTGTCTATTTTTGTCAGTTAGGTTGACGGTTGGACAAAATGATCTTTAAGGTCCCTTCCAACCTAGAAGATTCTGTGATTCCCACAGAAATGACCATTACTACCTTGCTGTGTGTGGCGTTGAATGGAGCTTTCAAAAAGCTCCTCTTATAATTTCTTCATAAAAGTAATTAGAACCAACGGTGCTGTGTAAGCCGTCTTGAGTTGTTCTGCCTCCACAAGCCCACAGTAGTCTCGTAGCTGTTTTTGTTAAGAATATATCAAACTGACTCTGCCTGAAATGCTCCTTTCCCCTACACAGCTAAATGTGGGACATCACACCCACATCTCGAGGGGACGGTATTCTTTATATTTTTTCTGGCCAACTGAAAGGGAGGAAGAAAAGGAGAAACATTTTGTTTTCTATTCAGTCAACTGTGTTAGGAGGAAAAAGGGATTGTTTTGGGGCATTTATAATACAGATTGTTTCCAAAGCAGTATCAGAAAAAGATCAGATGAGAACCCACTTATAAACATGCTATAGTAGATCATACCTATGAAAGCAGCTGAGAGCGGTTTATTTTGCTCTGAAGTTCTGGTTTCTTTACTTTTGTGTTTGTTTTATTTTAAGTGCTTTATGGCAAGATTATTCAGATAAGAGTGACATTCCTGTTCATGAAAATAGAATGGTGTGTTTATTTCCAGCGTTAACACTGTGACCCTCAGCCATCCCCACAGGCTTGTAATATTCCTTAAATCTGCTCGCCTTCCGATTGTACCGACTTCACTCTTGCTATTAGAGTGAAACATCACCATTGACATTATTTCGTTATTTTACATTGAACAAGTATCTCTTAAAGATCAAAGGACCAGTAATGAATTCAGGAGTACCTCGATGACTTGTAGAGTTAATGCCTACTCTTAAAATTCATACGCTTTAAGGCAACTGAAAGCATTTGAAAGTTGTGTTGCCTTATGCTAAATAATAATAATAATAATGCCTTGCTCTTATTTAGCACGACACTAGCCAGTTCCAGTGCTGAGCATCACAAATGAAGTCACTGGGGCTCAGAGAACTGCTCAGATGGCACACAGTGGCAGTGAGGGAGCGAGAAGGCAGGACATTCTGCTGCTGTATCCATCTGGCATGGTTCTATCCAAAACAGAGTTAAAGTTCCGTAATTAGCACAGTTGGAGATAGGTGAGTGTTCACACAAATGACAAGCAGAAGGGGCACAGCAAGAACATAGGCAGTTCACATGTGCTTCCCTTGTACCTGTCTTTCAGTTTGAAATATGTGCCACCTAACTTGGCTGGTTTGAACTAAATTTAAGAAAGGGGAAAAAAAAGTGCTTCGAATGGCTATCAGTGCTAAAACCTGTCTGGAGAGCAGGGCAGAACGAAAAGAAGAAAATAATTTTCAACATCCTCTTACCCCCAAGTTGTTAACAAACAGCGGTCCTCCTCCCCTTAGCCTTTTCCTTTTGGTTGGAGTTTGGGATTTTTTTTTCTTAAGAGAGCAGTGAGTGTAGGATATTCTAAATCAATTCAACCAGACAAACAAAAAGAAAAATCTTTTCATTTTCATTTTGTAGTATTTCCCTGGATAACCCGGACCTGTTCTGATCACTGGAAGCTTATTCCACGTCTTGGTTTCCTCAGACTTTAGACTGGAGGTTGTGATCTGCTCTGCTCCAGAGGTAAGCAGCTGCCCCAGGTGTTGGTAGATAGAAGTTTGGTCTTTAGCATACCAGATGGTGGCCCGATAGATTAACCGCTTTGAGTATTGAACTAAAAAGTCATAAATAGGCTCTAGAACCTGACCTGGAGCCAGGACAGAGAGCTTTTAGAAGAATGTTTAGCCAGGGGCCCAAAAGTCATTATCGAACCTACAGAACAACTGGAAGGGCAGATGTGGAACCAAATCATTTATACAGAAAAGTACAAGATTGACTGTGGGGATTTTTACAGCTTATATCCTGCAGTTCTTGAAGTTAATATATTATTAAGGTCTTTCCAGACTTTTTAGTCAATGGCTCAAAGTCCAGATGGAGACCAGTCACAAGTGGTGTTCCTCAAGGGTCCGTGCTGGGGCCAATACTGTTTAACATTTTTATCAATGATATAGACAGGGAGATTAAAGGCACCATCAGCAAGTTTGCGGA